ATCATTTTTATAAATGTCTATTTGTTCTGCTCGTTTATTCTTCGGTTCTCAGTCCATTATTTATATTTAATTTATTTTAAATATAAATTTTTATTCATTTATTTTTTGCTCGAATTTATTATCGGTCTCATTGTTTTGTACTAATTAAGCTTGTTTCACTTTTTTTTGGCTCTTCTTTTCACGGGCATTATACTCCGGTGTCAATCCAATTTTTTAATCATCATTAGTTTTAAAATTCATCCTTTGGAATTTTTTCCGCCTCCTCTGCACGATACACGGAAAAAAATAAATAGTAAATGGAACATGATGCAGTCTTGATAAATAAACATGATGAAATCATGTTGCAGTAACATGATTTGTCATGTTTCGATTACATAGCAATCATGTTGCAGCAACATGATTTGTCATGTTTTGGCTACATGGTTTGTCATGTTGCAGCAACATGATTTGCCATGTTTCGGTTACATGATTTGTCATGTTGCAGCAACATGACAATCATGTTCTGATAGCATGAGAAAAATCATGTGGCAACATGATTGGTCATGTAGCCTTATTAGCACAAAATTAAGCTGCAACAACTTAATATTTATGTTTAAGAAACATTATTTATTCTAAAGTATTTAAGCTATTAAAGCTACATGAAAATCATGTTGCTGCCCCATGATTTTTCTTATGCTACCGCAACATGATTGCCATGAAGCCGAAACATGACAAATCATGTAGCCGAAACATGACAAATCATGTGGTCGAAACATGACAAATCATGTAGCTGCAACATGATTTCATCATGTTGCATTTACTATTTTTTTTTTTCCGTGTACTATAAATAAAATAAAATAATAATAATCGGAGTATAATGACCAAAATTCATACGAGCAGTCTCTATGTCTAAATATCTGTGATGTTGTCAGATTGTTCTTTAAAACTATAATTTTATGTTATGTATGTCTTGTCCTAGTACGTTTTAGTCCCATTTAAATTAGACTTGTACATGTTTTTTAACTTCAAAACATTTAATTATTTAAATCTAAAAAAAGATACAAAATTAAAAATGAAAAAAAAAAAGAATTTTTTCCTGAGTCTTGTGTTGTTTTTTGTGTTGCGAGGCTTGTACTCATTGTATCCTTGTCGAACCTTGTCTAGTGAACGTTCTATTAGCATTTTGTACACACACACACGTCTATATAAATATATGTAATTAAATTACATATAGATATATAAATAATTATATATATATATATATATATATATATATATATATATATATATTATATTACCGCTGGTTAATTGCGCGCTACACCATTTGGTTAAACTCTAATTTTGTTAATTTTATTTAAATTATATTGAATTTGTTGACTTATTGAATAATTTCAACACACAACAACAAAATAACAGCACACTCGGGTGACCAAAAAATTAATTCGGCTTTTAAATGTTTTATAACAATAATACCTAAAAATTCTTCCAATTAATCAATAGTTTAACTATTAAAATTAATATTAATGAATTAATTAATAAATACATACCTCCAATCATAATCCTTCCTTTGTCTAAGTCTGTACTGTCTACAGTGTACCACACAAATAACCCCGTCCAGTCAGACCCAACAAACCACAACCTTGTGTCTGTCTGTCCATTGTCTATTTCCGTCCAAACCTACAAAAAGACAACAATATATTATTAAATTCCCTTAAATTTGTTCGTGCTCCAAAAAAACATACTTTTAATATTTAAAATAAAAATTAGAAATTTTTTTTGAAAAATTTTGTTCAATTTTTTACGTCTAAAAAATAAACGGGTCATTTCACTCGATAATAATTAAATAATTTCGATGAAATGACCGCGGAATAAAAATAAAAATAAAAATAAATAAAATGAGGCATGTGCACGCGATAATGTCGGCAATAAATGCAATTGCCGATGTGCCTCGATTACTCCGGGATCTTTTAAAATATATATATATGTATTTTGTAATCTAATTAATTATATAATAAATAATTCGCTGTTTTATAAATAAATAAATATACAATTGCCGACTTTAGAGTCATACATGCGCGAGAGACACCGCTCGTTATTTATTTATTTATTATGTTTAGTTTTTTTATTTTCGTTACATTACTTATTACTTATTATTATTATTATTATTATTATAGGTTGGTGTCTGTACTTATCTCAATGTGTTTTTTAATTGATAATAATTATTATTATTATTATTATTCATTATATTTAGTTTATTTAATTTATAATTACCATTTGTTATGGTTTGAAATAATAATTATTAAGTAGTTTACAACAGTGCCTGCCGCCTTGCTGTGCTCGTACTTGGAGGATCAGCACCACCCTGGACTGTGTTGGTCCTCAAGATCGGCACCCTGCAAGCTGCAACGACTTCAAGTGGTTTTAAATTTATTATTTTTAACCTTTATTTGCTCGACCGTATTTTTTTTATACCAAAAATCAATTTTTAAAGTTAAAATTGTTTAAATATTTTATTTAAAAAAATGTTTTTTCGCTTAATTAAGTAAACTGTAAAATTCACTCGGGTTCCAGTTTATTTTTATAGTTTCAAACAGTAAAACGGACGTCAGGGTTTGATTTTAAATGAAAATGAAGTTAGCCGACATTAAAAAATTTTTATAAATTTTCTTATTGAAAAAATTTCAATTAAACAATTAAAAAAAAAATTGTCACATGTAAATAACTCGAAAAACTATAAGTGCAATTTTTTATAAATGTCTTTTTAGTTGTAATTTAATTAATAAAAATAAATCAAAAATTTTTAGACGGCTGCTAACTTTAGTGTCATGATTTTTAGCGTTGATTTTAAAATTTATCATTTTACTTTGTAAATATTGACGTTGCTTGTATTAGAAATTTAGTAATTGTATTTTTATACTTTTTACATATCATAAGATCATTTTTTAAGTACCAAATGATAAATATCAAAGTCTAAATTATTAATTATTATACATTAACATTTTAGACATTCACATAGCAAATATTACTGTTTGAAATAGTATTTTCTTCTATATAAATAATAAATTGTAGCATTTAAATGATAAATATTGAATAGTGAATAATAATAAAGTTAGCCGACATTTTTTATTTTTCTATTTTTCGTAATTTATTAAATTATAACTAAAAAATATTTTTAAAAAATTGCACTTGTAGTTTTTGAAGTTTTTTACAAGTGAAAATTTTTTTTTTATTTTTTTGTAATAATTTTTTCAATAAAAACATATTCTAAAAATTTTTAAATGTCGGCTAACTTAATTTTCATAAATAATGATTATTAAAATCACGATTTTGCAAATCGACAATTATTAATTACAGTTTACTCTTTTAAAATTCTTATAAATAAAAAATACAGTCGAGTAATTTAAAAAAAATTATTTGGGAGAGTACCAAAGATGAACCAGGGAGTGCGATCCTCCAAGCTGACTCTCCCATGTTCGCTAGTTCATTAGGAACTTAAATATTTATTTAACATTATAATACATTACATAGTAATTTCACACACAACAAACGATAAAAATATATAAATATATAAATACATCTATATATTTTTATTATCAAAATATGCATCATGTTTGTATAGCTTGTTATGTATGCAACGAAATAATATTCCACGAGCTCGGGGTATAATTCGTTGTAACATTTGTTATAATATCCCGTGCACTAAAAATATACTCACCATTTTTTCTTGCATATCATATCAAACTTTACAACGCAATCATAACTTATTACCATTATTATTATTATTACTATTACTATTATTATGATTATTATTATTATTATCGCCTTTTTATCATTCAGCACACGATTGCTTAAATAATTTAAAGCTTTACAATTTAACATTTTAACGCAATCCCTTTTTTTTATATATATAATCTACATTTTTAAATTTACACATACATTTATACGTATTATATATATATATTTACCCAATATATGCATGCAATGTCATTTGACTTGATCAACTCTATGTTACATGGAATATTTTTACAATTCCAAACGGTTTAATATTCTCAAGCTTATTTTTAAAGATAAATATTTAATTCTTTCCCTCAAAATCACAAAATTTACAAAATATGTATCTAAAATTTTTTGATTATTTTTATTAATTAAATTACAACTCAAAAAAAATTTCTAAAAAAATTACACTTTATTAAGTTTTTCAAATTTTTTAACAAAGTTTTTTATTTGAAAATTTTTTTTTTTTAACTTTTTAAATTTTATCAAAAAATTTTTTTCTAAAAAAAATTTTATCTAAAAAGTTCATTGAAATGACGGCTAACTACAAAAATAAAATTAGCAGACTGCTGACAATTTTCAGAATTTTTTTTATCAATAAAATAATTACAAAAAAATTGAAAGAAAAAATTCCACCTGTTAAAAATTTGAAAAACTAGACGTGCAATTTTTTAAAAATATTTTTTTATTGCTAATTCAATATGGCTAACTTTATTTTCATAAATATATGAAGTGTAAAAATAAAATATTAAAATTAAAATAAATATGTATCAGTAACAAGGCAAATTTCATTGTCCAGTTGTAAAATCTATTTGTTCCGCTCGTCGCTTCAAAATTCGGCCCGGTCGAGCATTCCCACATTCTGTTTCATCGATACAATACAATATATATAGAGTAATATAGGATAGAATTGGATGGGAATGGAAGAGCGAGTTTGTTGGCAGAGCGCTTATCGATCTGGTGCGCATTCTCTGTTAGTATCCAAAGCAAGCAAAGTGAGAATATTAAATCGCATAGAATCGTTGATCGGGAAAGCTGATTCGTCTATACATACATAGAAAATAGGTACTCTGCATCAGATGATATAGAATAATTGGATGGATGGATTTTAGCGCAGTGCGCTAGTTTAGCTTCAATCCTCAATAATAATTGATGACAATGGTCATATCATCAATTGCCAATTCTCAATCGATATTTATCAGGAACAACTGTAATATTTTTTTAGCTTGGAAATTATTTTTTTATTAATGTATGTATGTATAGAACAGATCAGCTGTCTCGTGAATAATATCATTGTCAAAAAACGGCATTATACATGACTATAAAACATGCATTACACATAATAATATTATAAATTAGAAGCACGTAGTATATTTGACATTTGTCACAGTCGAGTCGCAGTGATGCGGGGCCAAGTTGTTACGGAACAAGGACTTGGAATAGTCGGAATACGTGTATCAGTCGACAGGACATCACGATTTGGATTTACACTGACAAGAGCAGGCGGATGGTGAGATTTTTATTTTATTAAATAAACTAACAACTTTGCAGTCACTGTGTGACTGCTGTGATTTGTGAACTGTAAAAAATTTTAATTTTGCTTTATTAAATAATTACTTTTGTTAAATTGCAATGTAATTTCTTAAATATTGACGTTTTTGGATATATAAGCTCATCTTGATGTTGCACTCATCAAGAGCTTTCATTTGAATACCCACATGCATTTTCATATATTTTTCATATATTTATATATATAATATATATAAATATATATGAAATATATCAAAAATGCATGTAGGTACTTAAATGAAAGGTCTTGATGAGTGTAACATCATGATGAGCTTATATCTTTAAAAATGTCAATAATTTACAAGATACTATATAGTTCATTTCTTAATTGTTGACATTTTTAAAGATATAAGCTCATCATGATGTTAATCTCTTCGAGACCTTTTATTTGAGTACCCACATGAATTTTTGATGTATTTCTCATATATACATATATATGTAATATATATAAATATATGAAATATATGAAAAATTGATGTAGGTACTCAAATGAAAGGTCTCGATGAGTGTAACATCGGGAGGAGCTTATATCTTTAAAAATGTCAATGGTTCTCAAGATACAAGGTCATTTCTTAATTATGTATCTAGAGATAGAGCAAGACCTTTGCAATGACACTAAATTTCACTAAAAAATCCGACTTTATCTATGAATATCCAGGAAACAAAATTTATCTTATTCTCTTACTAATATAGATTATTTAATTTTTAATTAAAACAACAGACATTAAGCGGCGGTTTCCTTGTAATTATTGATATTGCTGTTACTATTACCATTGGGATTGGTATTGCTATTTAATTACTAGCCAGGCAGTAAGCAGGAAGTAAAAAGGAGACGTCAAAGCTAAATTCAATACTGCTGAAAGCTCGCTAATTATTCCGTCGTACCTACGGGTATTATGGGGATTAGCCTTTCTGTGTTATAGACGGACAAATCCTCTTGTCGATTTAATATCATGAATTATCAACAGAAATTCATTCACTCAAATTAACGAGTATTTGGTTATGATAACTCTCGTCTCTAAAGAGAGAATAGATCAAGATAATTAATTATATTTTCATTTTCATTTTCTTACTTAAAAGATTAATTTTACATTTCATTTTTAAAAAATTGAACCTTCGGATAATTATTTAATTTTATCGAAATTTGATTGTAGAAATTATAAAAAAAAAAAATTACAATAGAAAAAAAAAATCCTTTGAAGACAAATAAATCAATTAAAATAGCGATTGTTAATCACAAACAGTAATAGAGTGAAGATATTCGAAACATTCGATTGCCGAGCTGTAAACTCGAGACACTAAACATCATTAGACATGGTAGCGAGCACGCGTGACGCAAGAGAGACCGTAGCAATCGAAGCAAATAATGATTGATGATTCACTTACAAACATTTCATTGGTATCTCGTAATCAGGTTCGACATTCTCGTGAATGGTGGAGGAGCAGTGACACTTCAGTTCCAGCGCAACCCCTTTGATCCACTCACCAGGACGGTATTTGTGCCGTGGAATCAAATAGTTGTATTACCACCGGTCGTAATGACTTTGCCTCAGGAACGGAAATCCCATAAATCCAATCTGCCGCCCATTCCAGCTGTTGGTAAGCATTTTGCTTCTATATCAATCGACCAAACATTTGTCCTAACTTCATAGATTCATTAATCCATATAAAAAATAAACACAATTAATAATTACTTCACCCTAAAGGATTCCCAGGATTCCCCGGACTGTCAATAGGGCTGTTTGTCAGCAACGGAACTTTCCGAGAGCCCTGTATGGAGCATGACCATGAGACTCTTAGGCCGATCATAGTCGGGACTTGGATGCCCGAAAAAGTCGGTGGGATGCCCGGACGCAGTTTAGTTTTAGCCGAAACTCAGGTTTGTAATCCGAAATGACTAAAATTTTGCTTTATTAAATAATGACTTTTGTTAAATTGCACTGTACTTTTTGAAATACTGACATTTTTAAAGATATAAGCTCATCCCGATGTTACACTCATCAAGACCTTTCATTTGAGTACCCATATGCATTTTTCATATATTTTTCATATATACATATATATAATATATATAAATATATAAAATATATGAAAAATTGATGTGGGTACTCAAATGAAAGCTCTCGAAGAGTGTAACATCAAAATGAGCTTATATCTTTAAAAATGTCAATAGTTCTTAAGATAAAGGTCATTTCTTAACTATGTATCTAGAGATAGAGTATTTTACTAAAAAACTTACAAATAAATCAAAAATTTTAACAAACTAAAATTCCACCCCCAGATCGTCCAAGAAAGCATCCCAATCCCGGGCTCCAACGTCCATCTAATGTACCAAAGCAGCCAAGCAGCAGGATACCTCTCGACAGTCCGAATGCAGCTGACAGGTCCAGTGATTCCCGTATCTCTAACCCACGTGCACGTCCACGTAGAAATAGAAGGTTCAGTCCACACAAAAACCTACGAAGCGGATCCAAACTTAACACACACATTCGCCTGGAACAAGCGTAACGTCTACAAGCAAAAAGTGTACGGCGTGGCCCAGGCCCACGTCTCCGTCGGGTACCAGCACTCCAGCTGCCCCTCGATAATCTGGGAGACCCAGACCGCCACGCTGCAAGGCTTCGACGTGGACATCTCTGACATCGGCGGCTGGGGACTGGACATCCACCACCACTACAACTTCCACGAAGGTATCCTCCAGAAGGGAGACGGCTCAACCCTCCACTTCAAGCAGTACCCGCGAACTGTCCAAGTAGTGATGGGCACGGGATCTCAACGCAGTTTAGTTTGCCAGAACTGCGACGGGCTGGCCATTGACGCGCGACTTCTGACTCCAGTAGCGCTGGCCAGCGGTCCTGACGGTAGCATATACGTCGGCGACTTCAATCTAGTCCGTCGTATCACTCCCAAAGGAAATGTCTACACAGTCCTCATTCTAAGCGCGACGCAAGTCGCTTACCAGTACTACCTCTGCGTGTCTCCAGCTGATGGACATCTTTACATCAGCGACCCCGAGAAGCACCGGATTTTAAGAGCCCTGTCCCTGGAAGAGGTCACGGACCCGAGCATCAACATCGAGCCAGTCGTAGGAAGTGGAGAACGCTGCATTCCAGGCGACGAAGGCCACTGCGGTGACGGGGGTCCCGCAATACTTGCCAAGCTGGCGCATCCCAAGGGCATCGCCATCGCAGCTGACAAAACAATGTACATCGCCGACGGAACCAACATCAGAGCGGTAGATCCCGACGGGATCATTCACACGCTGGTTGGACACCACGGCCATCACAACCACTGGTCCCCTGCCCCTTGCGTGGGCGCCATTCCTGCCCACCAAGCCCAATTGCAGTGGCCCACCGGCTTAACACTTAGCCCTCTTGACGGAACGCTCCACTTCATCGACGACAGGCTTGTTCTTAAACTGACCAGCGACCTCAAGGTCCGCGTCGTCGCCGGAACCCCTCTGCACTGCACCAGCAGCGCCAATACCCAGGATCTGAAGATCAACTCCACAATTAGGGAAAACGGCAGCGGGGTGGGCTACAAAAAGTCCGATCAGGTCCTCGGCTCCGTTCTGGCGGTGAGTTTCAGTCCCTCAGGAGAGCTCTATATTGCTGACAGCGACTCCCATCGGGTTAATTCCATCCGAGTTGTTGATTCTTCCGGGAAAATGTCTCACTACGCTGGCAGGTTGCAAGAACGGCTCCGTGATCAATGCGAATGCAGCAATGTCACCAAGAACCTCAACATCTGCCCTTGTAATGAAGACACCAGCAGCACGGAGACTCTCCTGTCTTCTAATACTAAATTCACCGCGATTTCTGCATTAGCAGTCACTCCGGATGGAGTTCTGCATGTTGCTGATCAAGGGAATCTCCATATCTTGGCTCTCAAGCCTTATTTACCCAATTTGGTCGAGCCTGGGGAGTTCCAGATTCCTTACCCTCCGTCTAATGAAATCTATGTGTTCAATAGATACGGGCAGCATGTCGCTACCAAGGATCTGACCACTGGAACCACCAGGTACTCATTTTTGTACTCCAAGAACACCAGTTTTGGTAAATTGTCCACGGTGACTGATAGCGCTGGAAACAAGATCACCTTCCTGAGAGATTACAGTGGTGTGGTGAGTTCTATTGAGAACACCCAGGACCACAAATCCGAGCTGAAGATATCTGGAATAGGCTTTTTGGTGAAGCTAACGGAAACTGGAAGGTCAGAAATTTCGCTGGACTACGACAGCGAAACTGGATTACTAACCAGCCGATGTGGAGGTGGTGAAACTTATGTTTACAATTACGACACACTGGGGCGAGTAGCGAACATAATTCTTCCGACAGGTGAGAATATTAAACTAACGTCAGGGCTAGCAGATAACGAAGCTCTTTCGGTTAAGGTAGAGGCTCCCTTACAGGCTTTAGCCAAGACAAATAAGAACCGTGTTATTGAGTTTAAAATGCACAAAGACCGCTCGAATTTATTGACGATAACAGACGCGGCAAAGGTCCACCGGGCAACCTCTTTCCCTAACAATAATAGTCTTGAAGTTATTCTGCCCAGCGGCGGGCGTGTACTCACAGCAGCAACAACAAAGCACCCACTGCTGGAGGCAGCTCTGCCCGTTGAAGCCGAAATGCTTCCTATGTGGAGCTACCAAGTGCTTACACTCGGTGAATTAATAAATACTATGACAACAACGTATAATCTAGTAGGAGATGTAAGTCATCCACAGCAGACTTTGAATCGCGAAATATGGGTCAATGAGTCTCGAGTAATCGGCGTTAAATTTGAGCAGTTACTCAGACGTGAAACCTTCTACGTTCACCCGTCTAACCCATTGTTGAACGTCACCTTTGATTTAGCGGGCTTGCCGCTCAGTTGGCAGCCCCAGTATGGTCACTGTCTCAACATTACTTATGACAGGTTCAACCGAATTCAAACCTGGCAATGGGGCGCGTCTAATGAGTCTTACAATTACGACAGACGCGGCCAATTGTCCGAGGTGACCAATTCTCAAGACGGCACCAAGCGCTACTCCTACAACAACTTTAACGGGCTCAGCAAAATAACCCTAGCGAGCAACAGAGAATTTTCATTAGAGTACGACGAAAATGGAGGACTCAGGCATATTACCTTGCCATCAGGAACCCAGCATTCATTTTCCTGTCAAGCTTCTCTGGGATTCTTGAGAGTGACTTACACGCCTCCTGGTAGCACCCGGTCCTACTTGCAGCACTACAGCCACGAGGGTAACCTTCTCCAGACTGTTTTTCCGGGTGACGGGGCCAGAATTGTCTACCGTTATCATCCCTGGGGCCAATTGTCGGAAATAGTCCACGGGGATGGTAAGAGCGAGATCCGCTACACCGAAAGCGGGCTTCCTTCTGAGGTTATCCACACGGAAAAGGACGTGGAGTACCGCTGGGACTATCAGTACAGCGCGGGGCTGCTAATTGAAGAAAGAATTGACTTCGAAGCCAAAACAGGACTGAGCAATGCCAAGTTTACATTCGATTACGACGCAAATTACCGGCTGATTGCCGTCCAGGGCAGAATTGGTGGGCAGACTCTGCCAGCTCACACAATGGCGTACAGCCCCAAGACCGGAGCGCTTGAGCAGATCGGCCAGTTCAAGGTCACTCGCCCGGCGGCCAATGAAACGATTGTTTATGATGGTACTGCTGTATTTTCCCGCGTTACTGATAAATACTTCCTGGAGACTCAGGTGAAGGTCACTATTCACGGGCTGGTGGTCTTCAGGATGGAGTTCACTCATGATTCCAAGGGCAGGATCAATCAAACGCGGACAGACACCAGCAATGTCGGTGTAAATACTTATACTAATGTCAAGAACTACACCTGGGACTCTGATGGCCAGCTGACGGGCATCGACGCTCAGGAACCTTGGGGCTTCCGTTATGACGGCAATGGAAACATGCTCTCGCTGACCTACCGGGGCAACACCATCCCCATGGAGTACAATAATTTAGACAGAATTGTCAAGTTTGGCGACGGGTTGTATAAGTACGACAATCGGGGACAGGTTATCCAAAACGCTAGGGAAGAAAGGTTCAATTACAACGCCAAGGGACTCTTGATAAGAGCCACCAAGAAGGGCAGATTCGATGTAAGGTATTACTACGACCATCTGGACAGATTGGCCACACGCAAAGATAATTACGGCAATGTCACCCAGTTCTTCTATAACAATCAAAAGCGCCCCCATGAAGTCAGCCAGATTTACAGCCCCCGGGACGGGAAAGTTATGTCGCTTATTTATGATGATCGTGGTCATTTGATTTACGCCCAAATATATCGGCATAAATATTATATTGCTACCGATCAATGTGGGACGCCTATTATGATTTTTAATCAGTACGGCGAGGGTATTAGAGAGCTTATGAGGTCTCCGTATGGGCATATTGTTTACGATTCTAATCCTTATCTTTATCTGCCGGTCGACTATTGTGGAGGGCTTTTGGATAAGGTTTGCTATTAATTTATTATACTATATTTATTTACTTACCTTTGTTCACAATTGTAATTATTAATTAAAATTGTGTTTGTTTGGTAGGTTACTTCTCTAGTCCACATGCCGAACGGCAAAGTTTATGATCCGCTGATCGGCCAATGGATGTCGCCACTGTGGGAAAACGTTCTTGAGCGCGTAGCGACACCTACGCACCTTCATCTGTACAGGTTCAATGGCAATGATCCAATCGACGTTAGACATGCGCGAGAACGGAACCAACCAACAGGTTAGTTTCTTAAATAACCCTAAAATTTTAAATAAAATTTTAATTACAATTTTTAAATTCAAATTTGAATTATTTTATTGCAGATCACATATCATGGCTGAACTTACTGGGCTACGACCTGAAGAGCCTGGCGCCTCAGCTGTTCCCGGAACAATTGCCCGACGACCAAGTTCCACCTTCCCTGAACCCCCAGGCCCTGATATTCGGCGGTAAAAAGAAGACCCGTAACCTGGGTGTCCAATCCGGCTTCTTGGCGCACATTGCTCAACGTCATTCCGGCGACGCGGCCTCTTTACTAGCGCCACCTAGGTCGGCGCTAAAGAAAGACCCAAGTGAGCTAATTCCTTCGAGGTTAGGAGCGGCTTCAGATCCGCCATTCGGCCAAGGAATTCTCGTTTCACGAACCGCAGATGGTAAAGCAGTTGTTTCTTCTGTACCGGCTGCCAACCAAATTTACAGGGACGTTTTTACAACCGTCTTCAACCGATCTTACTTCTTGCCGTTCAGTTTTGTGGTACACAGCGCGCAACAGGACGCGTTTTACTTTGTCAAAGAAGAAACGTGGAAGTCTAATGACGACCGCGGACAATTGAAGCGACTTGGCGGGAAAGTTAATGTTACTTTTCATGAAAATGAAAATGGAAGTGGCAGCACTGTCGACGTTAAAATTCACGGCGCTAGTTATGTTGTTAACTTGAGATACGGGACTACAGCTGAGAAAGAAAAGCAGAGACTTCTTCATCACGCGAAGATGACTGCGATACGCAAAGCTTGGCACAGAGAGCGCGAAGCGCTGAAGGTTAACACTCCGACCTCCATTGAATGGATGGTCACAGAGCAAGATGAGATTTTGAAGGACGGCTCCGCTTCTAATTACGATGGCGAGTACATTCATGACGCACAATTGTACCCAGAGTTAGCGGAGGATCCTTACAATATTAGATTCGTGAAAAAGATAACAGACTCGTCGAGTAAAAAGCGACGCAGGAGGAGAGGAACCTCAACTGTTTGCAAATATTGGCGACTTGATGGATTATGCTAAATAATATAGTAATTTAATGATTAATTATTAAGAATTAAATGCAGAATGCACATCAACTATCAAAATGTTTTGTACCAAAGTCTATTTGTGTATTTCACAGATGCCAAAACAATTAATCGATTAATTATAAATAATTATTAAGCCGTAGAGAGTTAGGTTGAGTATGTGGGTGATTGTGGTTAATATAATATTAATTTATTTATTTATAGTAATTAATAATAATGGTGTGAAGAAATATAAATAAACTTTTGTGAAGAATAATCGCACAGTTGCCGGCAAACTATATCATGTTACGGCCTTTATAGCTTCTGTGCGATAGCTTTCCGTTTTAATAACGCGACTTACCGATAATTATAATTAGAGTATTATTTGTCAATGAGATTTATCAACCGCGTGGATATCCTAGTCAATAAACATTAGCTAAACATGACGAAGGCTAATAAACCGATGGAAAGTTATGGAAAATTGTATACGATTGAATATTATATTTGTTGAAGATCTTGATGACAAATGTACCTTTGATTACTATTATTTTGTTGAGTAAGACTGCAGTGATTTATTTTAAATAATTATAATATTAATATTAATATATGATATAAATAATTGGCGATCCGAATTACAAAAAGTTTAATTATATTGTATTAATTTTTTACAAATTACGTGGTGCTTATCCTCCAGTGTTAAGTGGTTGCTTGGCATAGATTGAGGTTAACTTAAACAAAATGGATCGCAGATATAACACTGAAAAAATAAAATGGAGGCGAGCGGTATTTTTTAAGTGATAGCGATAGCGTCCATGTACGATGTATTGTTCTAAGTGATAAGTGAGAATGTTTTAATGATAAATCTAGTTATTAATTAAATTTTAAGTAATTATAATTATTTATATATATAAAAAAATGGACTTATCAAAAGTCTACAGGCTGATCTTACGACCGCGAAAAGCGAGTACCGAATCGGTTCGGTGTACTGTAATACGTATTTCTTAAAAAGAAGAAAAATACATGTGCTTGCTTATTTAAATATAAAAAAAAAAAAAAGTGAAATAATTATAATTATATATCTCTATAAATTTAAGTATCAGTTGCTTAAATTTCTATACATACATACATATTGTATATTATTATATATATTTTTATTTGTTTTTTATTTACAAGATTATTTTTATGTATAAAGTAATTAGAGTATTTTTTAATGTGTCAAATATTAGTCGCGTTGTTAATATAATAAAACATAATAAATTTATTGATCCGAATTTTTGGAATCTATTTAAATTTATTATGATTTTTAAAAATAACTTTTTTAAGTTATCTTAATCTAACACCGTGATCATTAATTAAAGTTTATTTTTAAGTTTATTGGAAAATAGCCTTTTTGTAAACTCGAAGGTTTATAAACTATAAATTTGAAAAAATTAGTTGATAATTTCATATGAAAAATTAGTTGAATATAAAAAATAATATTTATGAAATTAGCTAAATCAAAATTTCAATAATTATTAATTCAGTCATTTATAAAATAGCGAAAAACAAATTTTTACTGCAGAAACTTATAAAATTAGCCGTTTTTAAACTTCTTATGTTTTAATTTTTATAAAAACTAAATTTATGGAAGTTCTTTTAAATGCCTCAAATCATTTTTTCATCCGTCGATCTATATGAAATATATAAAAAATTGATGTGGGTACTTAAATGAAAGATTTTGATGAGTATAACATCAAAATGAGCTTATATCTTTAAAAATGTCAATAATTAAAAAATTATATTATATTTCGTCAACTTATGATATTTTTAAAGATATAAGCTCATCATGCTGTTACACTTATAGAGACCTTTCATTTGAGTACCCACATGGCAATTTTTATATATTTTTTATATATGGTATATCTGATATATATAAATATATAAAATATATGAAAAATTGGTGTGGGTACTCAAATGAAAGGTCTTGATAAGTGTAACATCGGGATGAGCTTATATCTTTAAAAATGTCAATATTTCTCAAGATACAAGTTCATTTTTTAATTATGTATCTAGATGAGATAGAGAATTTTCTTTAAAATAATTAAATTCAATAAAAAAATAGAATTTAAGTTCTAATAAAAATTATTAAAATAATATAATTATTATTGAATAGTTATTTAAACTATGACATAAAACTTGGATAGTTAGTAACTCGAATTGTAGCGGTTTGAAACTTAATATTAGTCCTTGAAAATTTACCCGCGGATAAACAACTTGCTGGAGAAGTTTATGGCATTATCCGGCAACATTGTCGTTAGTTTACACTGTGAAATATCGAATTTTCCTCACCACAACCCAGTATAATATTGATATTACCAACAATAACAATAATAAAAAAAAAAAACTTACCGCTGGAAGTGCAAAGAATGATATTGCGAACACGCTGAAACAGGAGGCGACTATTTTCCCCATCCAGGTCTGAAATTTATCGGAATTTTCGTTAAAAAAATAGCATACCAGTAAATAAATAACTAAATAAATTAAAAAAAAATCTTACTTGCGGTACAGTGTCTCCGTACCCTATCGTTGTGACGGTAATCTAAAAAAAATAAATATTAACATAGCAAACAATCAGACGTAAATGTCGATAGAATATTTAATATTTTTGTTTCCACTAAATGGTCGCGATAATTGCCATCAGGAGATTGTCGCTTGGAGAGACCGCCAGCCGCCAGTTGTCAATTAATTTAACGATGCATTGCCATACACGATAGATAGATAGATAGATAGATGTATAGCGCATATATTTATATATAGATACATAGACGGAGACATTGTTTAAATAATCAGCCCGATATATCTCTGTTGGTTTTGTTCGGTAACTAGTGAGTAGTGAGTAGTGACAAAGGAGCATTGTTTCGAGTGAGCTATCAATATACATGTATATTGTATACGCCTTCACTTGATTTATCTTCTATATTAGAGGATTGCTATTCAAGTGGGCTTATGTGTCCTAAGATTCAATTGTCAATATTTAATTGAGTTTCACGTGATCTGATATTTAAATCTTCCGTTTAATTTCATTATATCATTACTTTAATAATAATAATAATCAAATAAAAATATATGTATGTATTTGGAGACTTTAGGAAATTTCTAACAATTGCTAGAATGTTTATTAAATACAAGATATTTTTATTTATTTAATTAGTTATTATTCCGGCTAGATAATTTTTTTTTGTTTTTCACAAAATGAGAACTGCTTAAGACACTGTAGCTCCTAAAATATTGAAGATAGCTCTGTAGTATAAAAACGTTTTTTGTAGGAAATTTTATAAGCTACAATTTTCGTCTTAAAATTTGACCAAAAAATCAATATTTTAAAAGTTACAGCCATTTTTATAATGTCTAGATAATGATTTTCGCATTTTTTTACTATCTACGCACTGTTTAAGTTATATAACAAGTTATATCTTCTAAAATATTGAAGATAGGTCCATAGTATAAAAACGTTTTTTGTCGGAAATTACCTAAGCTACAATTGTAGTCTTAAAATTTTACCCAAAAATCAATATTTTGGAAGTTACAGCCATTTTTGGAATAACTAGATAATGATTTTTTAAAATTCACTTTGTGAGAATTAAATTAAGTTACTATATCTTCTAAAATATTGAAGATAGCTCCGTAGTATAAAAACGTTTTTTGTAAGAAATTTAATAAGCTACAATTTTGATCTTAAAATTTTACCAAAAAATCAATATTTTGGAAGTTACTGCCATTTTTGCGATAATTAGATAATGATTTTTTATATTTTACTTTGTGAGAATTTAATTAAGTTACTATATCTTTTAAAATATTGAAGATAGCCCTATAGTATAAAAATGTTTTTTGTTGGAAATTTCCTAAGCTACAATTTTGATCTATAATTTTTTGATAAAATTAGTATTTCAGAAGCTATAGCCAATTTTTAAGTAACTATATAATAATTTGGTATTTTTATTCAAAAGTTAATTATTATTAATTGAAGGATTTTTTTTTAATAATAATAATATAGAAATGAATACTTACAACACCCCACCAAAGGGCGTCGGCATAACTGGCAAAATCAGTCTTGCCATCAGGTCCCACGGCATCTTTTTCGGCTAAATATACAAAGTAGCTGCTGAATATCAGCCCCAAAAATCCGATATAGAGCGTCGTGATTAATTCCTGAATTTTTTTGGGTAATTAATTAGTTAGTTAGTTTATATTGACAAAAAAAAAGGGATTTAAAGATCACCTGACGGTGAATGAATACGACGGATCCGAGAAGTCGCCAAGTACCACCTTGACGATCGACATGGAGCATTCGCAGAATTTGAAGGAATCTTATCCCTCGGATTGCGGAAGTTGCAAACACTTGGCCGTTGCTTCCTACTGATAGAACGACTATCGATGCAACCACCACGATTAAATCTGTAAGTTAAATAAATTTTTAAATTATTAAATGGAATTTATTTTTTTTATCAATATTTTTTATCAAAAAAAAAAAAAAATAAATAAATCTCTGGTCCACCGAGTACCAGAAAATCTCTGGTGTAGTAGTATATTATTTTAACAGAATACGACAGATATCCCGAGGTGTTATTCCCCGAGGATGATAAAAAATATTTAATATTTTTCCTGACATTCTTCTGTCAGATTTTCATTGAAAAAAACTACTCTTAACTTTATTTCATTTTTATTTTTACTGAGTTAATTATTTAAAATTATACTATATAATAATAATAATAATATAAAAAAATTTTTTTCATTAAATTTAGCTGTCACAATTTTTTAATTTTATTTAACAAAAATTTATTTCAAAAAAATAATTTAAAAAAAATTTTATTTGTAATTTTTGTCATAATTTATTTATTAAAAAAATTATTAAATATCTGTTAAATAAATTTTCATAAATATTAAATCATAAAAAAAATTATAAAATTAATTAATATAAATAAAAAACTGACCTATTATGCAAATGGGCTTGCGTATAAATCGTAACCTCCCCCAACAGCCCATGTACTTTGACCTGCAGCCGGCGCTCCATAGTCTTATCATATATTCCACGCCGAAGAACACAACCAAGCATATTTCCTGAAACCAAAAAAATATCACCTCAGAACCCTGATAAATCAAATAATCATTGATAATTTTCCAAATTAAAGATAGAGATAGAAGGAGGAACTAGACACTAAGTAAATGCAGTCGTTAGAGACTCTTGCCGGATCATGTCATCTGCAGACAGTCGCTGACTATCAATTAAGCGATGAAATCGGAATTCAGAGGGTGATTGATGGAATACTAATCCACTTGGCTGGTGGGTTAGGCTGTTTACGTAAACCAAAGTTGGATTAGCTTCACCTGTCGGACGCAAACGTCGAGTTCTACCCGCAAATTCAGGACGTCAGCTGAAAGAGGCTGCGATGCTCAACCTAGTGCCTAGTACCTAATGCCTACGCTACTCCAGTTGTAAATTAGTATTAGTTAAGTGGGAGGATCAATCGATGAGACTTTGGCTCGAGAAACGTCAGTTACACTTGGCTTTTCATTAATCTATTCAATCTCGGTGATCATCTTTACAAGCATTACTTTCAACGGCCATTGCTACGCTTAATTGTTCTTTAAATAGTAGCAGGTTAAAAAAAATCTAATATAGCCTGATATGATATTTTATAGATCTTGACATTAAAATTGACCCTATAAGAACTAAATATAGCCTCATTGGACAAGATATAGCTAAATTATGCAATATTAAAACATGTCTGACTTAATACGTCCTTCTATCACTGAAAATACCTATAACAAGTCTAAATATAATTTTAAAAAGCTTAATATAGCCATGTTAGACCAAATATAGCTATATGAAGCTAAATTAGGACACGTCTGACTTATTATGTCCTTCTATCACTAAAAATACCTATATTAGGTCTGATATAACTATATATATGGTTAAATTGAAGTATTTTATGTATCCTGATATTAAAATTGACCTTAAAAGACCAGATATAGCTACATTAGACTAAATATAGCTATATGAAACTATATTAGGTCATGTCTGACTTAATATGCCCTTATATCACTAAAAATGTCTAGATCAGGTCTAATATGTTCATAAATAAATTTTAATATGATCTGTATTGAAAATTGGCTATATTGAACCAGATATAGCTATATTACACCTAATATAAGGCTATATTAGGATATTTTTAAGTTTATATGTCTTGATATAACTTAATACACCTATATTACGTCTAATATATCAATTTTAATATAACTTAATATAAAAATTAGCTATATTAGGTCAGATATTGATGTATTAGGCTATATCATCATATATTTCTAGCTATAAATGTCCTAATGTAACTTAATATATCTTCATTAGACCTAATATAGCTTTATATGTTTATAAATAATTTTGAATTTATTCTGGGACGATCCTAATGCAGAAATTATTTAAATTAGGTCAGATACATGGATATATTAGGTTAAATCAGGCTATATTTGGCTGATGGGACCTAAAATGGCTATATTGGACCTAATATAGCATGATATCTTTATAGAAAATTTTTTAATATGTTCTGACAAAAAAATTGATCATATTAGAGGCTATATTTAGCTTGATATGACTTGAAATATCAGTATAATGTTGAATATAGCCTGATATAAAAAATTAAGTAAAATTAGAAAATTTTTCCACAGAAAAGTGTATTATTTAAAATATATATAGAGAATAAAATCGAGTTATTAATAAAAACATAGCCAAAAAAATGAGGTTAGTTAAAAACTACAGAGCGACTGTACATTCCATTGTTGGCGTGTGCAAATAATTCCTCCATGCTGGCTGGCCTATATAGCATCGACGCTCGCGTTAAATTAAAATGAAACAAACTTCGAGTTATGATGGAAAAAAATTATAATGAAATTAATAAAATATTTTTTGTGTCCTGTTGACTCACCATCCAAAACAAAGTTTCATTTGCGAAATTACTGTATTGTTCTATCGTTGACAGTACGCTAAATATGAGGCACACCAATACCACCATGAACCTAAAAAAGTAAGTAAATAATTGTTAGATATAATTTATAATTTAATTTAATTAAATAAAATCACAGGTAATGGGCTGTTAAATCTCACCGAGTTCTATTCATCATAATAACATCACGAACAGCCAGTTAATTAATTACCGGAGATGAAATAAATAAGATTTTTATAAATATTGGCAGGTCTATTTCGGGTAAAAGTAATCTCATTACCTGACTTTTCTTTCTTTTTTTTTTTTTTTGGTAATTTCAGAAGGATTGATCCTTAGACCGGGAAGAAAAAAAACCTGGAGAAAAAGTTATTAGCGAAGATGGGGAAAATAAGAGAACGGAAAACAGCTCAAATGGTTAAGTACTTCCGAGCACGTGAGGAACGCCAATGAATATAAATATCATCGATGTATTTCGCACCAATTACGGGTGAGTATTCCTAGATATTGTTCAGAAAAAAAAGAAATTTTTTGCACCAAAAATATTCAATAAATTTTTAGTCGGTATTAATATTTTTTTGTCTCCTAAAATATTGAAGATAAGTCCATAGTATAAAAACGTTTTTTGTAGGAAATTTTCTAAGCTACAAGTTAGGTCTCATAATTTTTTGACAAAATTAATATTTCCAGAGTTATAGTCATTTTTAATTTCCCTTAATATTTTTTTGAGCTAAGAAAATTTTTTCTGAGTACTTTAATTATCTTTCATCATATCGCGTACCTAGATTTAATTCTAAGGACCTCAATATATCACTCGGCGAAGCAAAGAAGAGTTGTAGTCCTGCTTCCGGCATAACTCAGCCTCACTATTGCATTATAAGAGTTGATTACGCCGATCGGTTTTGCGATTTTTTCCAGGCACGGAGCTTGCAATTAGACTTGAGAGTTATCGTTATCGGTATGAGTGCTGATATATAAGTGCAGCTAGTCGGGATGGCCTAACAGAGGCTTACATGCCCTGGAATATACAGCAATAAAAGTTGTTCCCGTGTTCTTTAACACGGATGGCGTGTCGAGGGACCATAATTTAAGTCGCGGTTGTGCCTCGGTGCCCATCAACCTGCCTCGGGTCACCTTCCTCGACCTACTGCGATAATTGTCTTTATGTTGAAACCTAACTTGCACTTATCAGAGCACTTTTTTTACCGGGTTTGATGGATCGGCTGCCCGAAACCTTTCCAAATAAACATCTCGGGACGATTTTTCAAGCTGGTTATCTTAGTTGGGTTTTTTTCCGAAGGTTGTGGGTCGAGATTCAGCAAATTTTTAAAGTATTTTTTAATTAAAGACTAAGCTATTATCTGGATGATCTAAGAATGGATGTAACTTTTGAAATATTGATTTTTGGGAAAAATTGTAAGACTAAAATTGTACACGTAAAGAACAAGATGATACTGGATATCATCGCAGATTATACTCAGTGATATCTGAGGTAAAAAAAATTTCAGATAGTAGCTAAAAAAAATCCAGATTATACTGAGTGATATCTGGATTATACTCATTATAATCTGGATTATACTCATTGTAATCTGGATTGCACTGGCTGTTATCTTAGTTGGGTTTTTTTCCGAAGGTTGTGGGTCGAGATTCAGCAAATTTTTAAAGTATTTTTTAATTAAAGACTAAGCTATTATCTGGATGATCTAAGAATGGATGTAACTTTTGAAATATTGATTTTTGGGAAAAATTGTAAGACTAAAATTGTACACGTAAAGAACAAGATGATACTGGATATCATCGCAGATTATACTCAGTGATATCTGAGGTAAAAAAAATTTCAGATAGTAGCTAAAAAAAATCCAGATTATACTGAGTGATATCTGGATTATACTCATTATAATCTGGATTATACTCATTGTAATCTGGATTGCACTGGCTACTATCTGAAATTTTTTTTTACTCGGTTTAATCTGGGATGATATCCAGTGTAATTTTGTTCTTTCCGTGTAGCTAAGGAAATTTCCTACAAAAAACGTTTTTGTACCATAAGGTTATTTTCAATATTTTAGGAGATACAGTATCCTTAATTAGTGCTTACTATTTAGCCATAAAAATGACCATAGCTCCTAAAATTTGTTTGTAAAAAAAATATAATTATTAAGCATGATAATTATTAATTCACACTCGTGTTACAATACAGTACAATGTCAGCAGGTGAACCCATTACTCATTTATAAATTTAATAGCAATTAACCTTAGCGAAAATTAATTTACTACCAATGTGTTTGCTCAGCTCTTTCCTACCGAAGCTTGTTCACTCTCCAATCCGCGTAATACACTAAGCAAAAGTAGACTATTATTGTTTATTATTGAATGATTATTTTTGATTATAAAAGCCCTTTCAATTTCTTAGTTTCTCTCAGAAAATATTCGTATGAATGGTCACAATAATATTTACTCGATGTCAAGAGTCCCGAATTGAGCTCTATTATTCTTTCCATTCCATAAATTAAAATTAATGCCGGAGAAAAAAATTTACCGGTTAAATTACAAACAATATATATTTTTAGCAGATAGATACGGCAATATATGATATATTATAGATAGCAAACGTCATATTACATTCGGTGGGTGATTTTACAAATCCAAAAGTTCAATTTCCGATTGTCAACCTTCTACTGGTATTCGATTTCGCAAATACTCATGTTAATGCATATATATATATATATTTTGTCAAAGGTGTATTGTCGTGGTATATTGTATATTACTAAATTATCGGGTTTATCAGAGAGGATATGATAAAAATAAAATATTCCAAGGCTATTAATACATTTTTTTTATAATATTTCTTTAGTAAAAGACTTTTAACCTACAATCTAATTATAAACTTACATGATGATCTAGTTATTTTAAATGTTGATGATAAATAAAGAATTGTTTTTATAATTATAAAAACATAATCATAAAAATTACATTTTTTTATAAATAAATATTTTAAGAGTTATGGGCAATTTAGCAGAGACTAGATATTTAAAACAAAAGTTACTATATCTCCTAAAATATTGAAGATAGCTTGATAGCGCACTGCTATTTTTTGTAGGGGATTCATCAAGCTGCAATTTTGGTCTCTTATAATTTAAAAAAATCAATATTTCAGGAGTTATAATTATTATTGTAGTAACTAAATCATAATCTTTTATTTTTAGCTGTGTTAACAATAAAGTAGCTATAATTCCTAAAATATTGAAGATAGATCGATAGTTTACTAACATTTTGGTAGGAAATTTTGTAAGCTACAATTTTGAACTATAATTTTTTTCAAAAATCAATATTTTAGGAGTTAGAGTCATTTTTTAAATGACTAGATAATGATTTTCATTTTTAACTATCGGAACATTTTTTAAGTAGCTATAATTCCTAAAATATTTAAGATAGCTCGATAGTTCATCATTATTTTTCATAGGAAATTTATCAAGCTACAATTTTTAATTCTTACAATTTTTTCTAATCAATATTTTAGAAGTTATAGTCATTTATTAGTTACTAGATAATAATTTTTTATTTTTAACTATCTAAGCACCATTTAAGTAGCTATATCTCCTAAAATATTGAAGATAGCTTGATAGTTTACCAAAATTTTTCATAGGAAATTTTCTAAGCTACAATTTTGATCCTAAAAATCGATATTTTAGGAGTTAAGACCATTTTTATAGTGACTAGCTCATGATTTTTCATTTTTAACTGTGTTAGCACTAAAGTAGCTATAATTCCTAAAATATTGAAGATAGCTCGATAGTTCATAGCAATTTTTCATAGGGAGTTTATCAAGCTACAATTTTTAATTCTTATAAATTTTTCTAATCAATATTTTAGGAGTTATAGGCGTTTTTTTAGGAATTAGATAATGATTTTTTATTTTTAACTATCAGAGCACTATTTAAGTAACTATATCTCCTAAAATATTGAAGATAGCTCGATAGCTCAACTATTTTTCATAGGAAATTTTCTAAGCTACAATTTTGATCCTAAAAATCGATATTTTAGGAGTTAAAACCATTTTTATAGTGACTAGCTGATGATCTTTCATTTTTAACTATAATAGCACTAAAATAGCTATATTTCCTAAAATATTGAAGATAACCCGATAGATTATGACTATTTTAATAGGAAATTTCCTAAGCTACAATTTAGGTCTCTTTCTTTTGTTGATAAAATTGATAATTAAGGAGATAGTCATTTTTACACTGACTAGATAATGATTTAGTATCTAATTCAAAACTTGTTTTTTTAAATAGTAATATTAATCCAAAAAAAATTAATATTCCATAAAATAATGAGGTTTAAAAAAGGATTACCTGATAACATGAATTTTCCGTTGTGATCGACTAAGTCTGAATTTACAAGCGGATTAAATCAGTAATTTCTGCGTGTTTTTAAACGCTACAGGTTTACAATACCACATTTGAACGTGAGCATGTGTGCAGTGAACAGTGTGTTGCACAATCAAACTCGGATGTCTATTTATTGATCGATTGTTCAGCGGCACTATCCTCATTATTCATTTTCAAGTTCTTTTTTACTCTATTTATGTGTTCACGGCTGCACGCTTGCTCTTTTTATCAATTTTTTTTTATATCTATATAATTAATAGTCTCACCATTTATATAATAGATTATCTCGAAAACTATTAATCAGTCTGATACAAATCAAGTTCATTATATTTTTTTTTCTATCGAGGGGAATTTCATAAAATTAATCGAATAATTTTAATTTATCCAAAACTATCCTACAAAATTAAATTATTGACAGTAAACATAATAATTACATTATATTTACTGTGTCAATAATATTAATATGATAATGCAAATATTAAGTAATTGTAATGTAATCATTAATCATTATTGTCATACATCATAATCATCCCGATGTTTAATGCGCTGTAAAATAAATATTTAACTATAAAATAAAATTTATTAAAAAAATAATAAATTAAAAAATATCGCTCCGGTAATAATTTGAGAGTGATTGCGATTAAGTCTGGGGCTATGATTGCCGCGATAAATTAGCGGCTACCGGATTATAATTAATGTAGGTCATACAAATAGGAGGTATATGTCGAAGTAATGTTATAAAATGCCCTGGGGGCTGTGATGAATTAGTTAGGACCTGTCGTTGCTCATTCAAACTTTCAAAGGTGATGCATATTTAATTGTCCGTTGTTTATGAATTTTGCTTGAACCCCTGAGCTATAATCACTGTAAACATTGCTTGTTATTACTCTTGATTAACTGCGGGCTCATTGAATGCCTCTTTGATGGTTAGCAACAATAACAATTTCAATTAAATTGCAATTTCGAAAATTTTTATATAAAAAAAAATAATTAAAAGCTACATTAAGTCTCAACCCCGATGTTACACTCATCAAGAATTTTCATTTGAGTACCCACATGCATTTTTATATATTTTTCATATATACATATATATATATAATATATATAAATATATGAAAAATTGATGTGGGTACTCTAATGAAAGGTCTCGATGAGTATAACATCAAAATGAGCTTATATTTTTGAAAATGTCAATAGTTCATGAGATACAAGGTCATTTTTTAATTATTGACATTTTGAAAGATATAAGCTCATCCTGATGTTAAACTCATCGAGACCTTTAATTTAAGTACCCACATGGCAATTTTTATATATTTTATATATATGGTATTTGTGATATATATATATAAATATATAAAATATACGAGAATTGCCATGTGGGTACTTAAATTAAAGGTCTCGATGAGTTTAACATCAGGATGAGCTTATATCTTTACCTTAATTTAAGTACCCACATGGCAATTTTTATATATTTTATATATATGGTATTTGTGATATATATATATAAATATATAAAATATACGAGAATTGCCATGTGGGTACTTAAATTAAAGGTCTCGATGAGTTTAACATCGGGATGAGCTTATATCTTAAAAAATGTCAATAGTTCACAAGGTCATATCTAAATTATTGACATTTTTAAAGATATAAGCTCATCTTGATGTGACACTTATTAAGAGCTTTCATTTGAGTACCCATATTCATTTTTTATATATTTTTCATATATACTTATATATAATATTATATAAATATATGAAATATATGAAAAATTGATGTGGGTATTCAAATGAAAGGTATTGATGAGTGTAACATCAGGGTGAGCTTATATCTTTAAAAATGTCAATAGTTCACGAAATACAAGGTCATTTTTTAATTATGTTTCTAGAGATAAAGCATTTTTCAATGCAGCCTAAATATTTATCATTATAAATTGACTATTGGTGAAAATGATATGAAATCATGAAGAGGCACAACTCTAGGTCAAAACCTTTCCAACGATACTAAATTTAACCATAAAAACCCATTTAATCATATAAGTATATGATAAAGTTGTTACTTATAAGACAAATTTATTAAAAAAAAAGCAATCAATGAATTAAAATTGAGACTACTAAAAAACTTACACAGTGAAATGATAAACGAAACAAATCCAGCCGCCAGGATGCTCGAGAAAAACATAAAGCCGTTCTTGAAATGTTTTTCCCTTTTTGTGATGAAAGACATACTTGGCCTTAAAAGCCTGATCAATGGGCAAGTAAATGGGGTAGTAGGGATCAGGTACGCCGGCTTGAACAGGAATCGGGGTTTCTTCTTCCTCTTCCTCTTCCTCTTCCTCTCCGCCAACGTCATTGCCGGGGTCGTTTCTGCTAATAATATCCCCTTTGCTTCTTTTTCTGCGGTGCTTTCTCTTCATAGGGGTGGGAACTCGCTTGTGATGGGCTTCTCCGAACCTCGGGGACCGGAACCGCTTGAGGAATGTGAACTTTCGCGGCGTTGGGTTGTCCTCTAACGTGTTCACCCCGTTGTCGGTGTCCTCCGTTTCACTCCCGGGCGTTTTTAGCGCAAAGTCTTCGGTGGTGTCGCAGGAGACCAGCTCGTCCTCGCTCCCCTGGAGCGCCGCATAAGCCGCCGCCGCGCTGTACCGCTTCTCCGTCAGTCGCGTGTTTTGATCCTCTGACTTTTGCTTTGGAAGACGTTCGTTGTAAGTTTGACCTAAACATTCTTTTATTACTTTTTAAATGTACTTTTTTTTTATTTCACTCAGTCCAGGTAATTACATTTTCCGTCTGTTACTTTTTACATTTAAAAAAATTTATTTTTAATGTAAAAAAATTCAAAAAAAAAATTTTTTCCAGACTTTAAATTTATAAATATCATTTTTTTGTCATTCTTATATTAAAGAAATTAAATTCTATTATTTTAAAACACTAATTAAATTTTTAACCTGCTTATTTATATTCTGGTAATGACTTTCTACTAGCGAGAAAAAAAATCAGCCATGCGACACCTAGCGGTGAAATACAGAAACTTTAAAAAATTAATTATTGTTTTTTAAAGACATTAATTTAATTTTTAACCTGCTTATTTATATTTTGGTCATAACTTTCTGCTAGCGAGAAAAAAATCAGCCATGCGACACCTAGTGGTGAAATACAGAAGCTTTAAAAAATTAATTTTTGTTTTTTCAAGACACTAATTTAATTTTCAACCTGCTTATTTATATTTTGGTCGTAAGTTTTTACTAGCGAGAAAAAAAAATCAGCCATGCGACACCTAGCGGTGAAATTCAGAAACTTAAAAAAATTTTTTTTATATAAAAAAAATACTTTTATATATATATAAAAATATTTTTGATAGACTGCGAGAAGTATTCAACTTAATTTAAAATTAAAAAAAAAAAATTACAATGTATAAATTATTTCCAAGACTGTCAATTGATCAAATAAATAATCAATGACAAAGAACAAAATTAAAATCCTCGAGAAAATATTTAAGAATCTCAAAGCAAAAGGATGTTCACTTTAAAGCATTACTTATTTATATATGCACCCTTTAGTATATATATATATTTATTTTTATTTCCAGAATAAATCGATTTCTGAAAATAATTCGTCCGGGTTTCAGTTTCTAAGATGTTAGACCAAAAATATACAATCGAAAAAATTCCAATGTTCTCTTTTAACAACGTAGAAAGTAAACTAATTTATTATAAAAAAAAAAAAAGATAAACACAATAGAGAGTAAATGGGATTAAATTTGGATTCCCTTGAGAGAAACTATTACCTCTTATTTTATTTGAAAAGATTGAAGTTGGGCAAGCAGTAGCAGTAACACCGCCAGTTCTGAATCTTAGGGTGAATTTTAAAAGGCCACGTCGCCCATTCAAACTAAATATTGAATTTGATCCAGTCATAAAGTATTGATATTGTGTAAACTCATGATGAAAAAAAAAAAAATACTCCAACTCGACCAATATTAAATTCAGATATCTCCAATTCACCCTGATAATAAATTTATAAATTGCTCGCCTCAAAGCGCCAAGCTTTTCTTTCAATTAATTAGCAGCCCAGCAAAACAATTTATTTTTTTCCTAAAAATAATGTACGCACTACGAGGCGTGCAATTCTGGATTTAAATGTAATTAGTATTAAATACGTCATCAATAAATTGGAAATTGAGACAATAATTCTAAGAAATGAGAGTTAGTGATGTATGATGTAAATAGTTATCAACTTGTGTTGAAAAGTTGACAGTGAGTTGTAGGTTAACTTTTGAGTTTCGGTGTAAGGTTTACTTCAGAACGGAAGCGTCTTATCTGTCCCGAGTCCTTTTCAAAGAAAACTATCTGACGTAACGGTAACGTTCGCTAAAGTTTACTGCCAACTCCCCAGCTCCTTGCAGTTCTGGCTTCATAACTTCTTTATTGTAACTTCCAAGTAAATAAAGACATCAAGCTCGGCTTGTTTTCTGTTTATGATATCAGTTTCTATCCTTACTTTGATTAAACCTCCAAATGCGGTTGACATTTTGGAGTTAGAATAGTTGGTAATCACTATTACCGATACTTGATTAAATATTGTGTAAATAAATTTTATTTTAGCAAGAAAATGATTAATAATGCTTATTTTTTCTTTTGAATGTAAAATATCCGGCTTAAGAAATGTTTTTGATAAATATATTTAATAAAAAAGTAATCAAGAGCACAAATTTGATATTTTTGGCTTTAAATAGTTCGAAAAAAGCGCCACCAAAAATTTCAATCAAATCGAACGTCATCAATTTAAGTATAATAGCTTAGTAGTATCTCTCTTTAATAACCGCGCGGACTGAACAGGGTTCGAATCCGGTCTCGGGCTTATCCTCTATTTTTTTTTAGTTTATTTATTATATTTTATTTATTTTTAATGAATTAAAAGAAAATTTATTAATTTTTAACTAAAAAAAATTTCTTGGTTTAAATAAGCTTATTTTTAGTTACGGCTTATGAAAAAAAAAAAAAAATCCCAGATAAGAGCTAAGTGGAGATGCATCCTCTTATTCAAGATTAAAGATAAATGTATGTATATTTAAGAGGAAAATCCGGGTTTCTCTCAGAAGGATTTGCAAATTAAGAGGCAGACTGATTCAGGAAGACATTAATTGTACAGGTTCTCGTGAGCATGCTAGAACAGCCACCATCAATTAAGACGTTTAAGTTTGTGTATAATTGCAAAGAAACTAGGGGTTAATGAGACACGGCCTAGTTGACACGCCGCCGCGGGCTTCGGGCTTTCAGTTATCCGGTAAATAGTTAAGCGCTTCCACTGAAAAGGATAATTGTAATTTGCAATTCGTAATTTGTAATTTGTTATCGAGCTAAACCGCCTCAAGGTCGTCAATATTTTCATAGTTTAAAATATTTTAGTAATCCGCCAATTAATTTGTCTTTACATAAAAATATCTATAAAAAAATTTATTTATCGTCACAACAATGTCTATTTTTTTTTATTATTAATTATTAATTAATCAATAATTAAAAAAAAAAAATCAATTGTTGCAGTGTCAAGTATAATTTTTGCAAGAATTTTATTGGCTCAATTATCCAAATTTATAAAATAGCAATGATTAATAATTGTTTGATCTAATGAGTGTCCAATTTAAAGAATAACCAGCGTAAATAATTAAGCAGAGAATGATAAATTTAAAATAATAGATATGGATGAAGACATAGATGTCATTTGTGACATATGCTGGCTTGTATGATTGATGATTATTGACTGCTGGGCGCAATATGTATTATTGTATTGTTAAAAGTTAAAGCCCGAGGTTTACCCGTCGAAATTAACTGTATAGTGCACTAAAGGTAATCAACGGTGATATTGGGAGACAAAAATAGACTTCCTAAGAAGCAGAGCTTTACAATGGTATCGATAAACCGCTATTGCTATTGCTACTGCTGCTTTTATTCCTTTAGCTCGGTCTTTGCTTTTATTTGTGCTGATAAAAAATTTTTAACTTCCCGTTAAGAAAATCGAAGATTTTTTTGATTGCAGAGACAAAATCTTCAAGTGAGAACTTTATTTTTAATTGAAAAGAATTTTTATTGAGTGGTTAATTGATCTAAAAGTAGTTTTGAAGCTTAATTTAAGGAATTAAATTTTTAATCAAGATTATTTTGGAGAATTTGATCATTATTAATCAAGAAAAATTTATTTGAGCTAATTACTTTTAAATTAAATAATTTTTTGCACTAATAAAAATTATATTTCTTTTAAAAAAAAGAAATTTTAATTTTAAAAAATAAAATAATTTTTTTTTGTCTTAATAAATATTTATTAATAATTAATTAATGATCCAAAATGACCGTCAAAATTTTTTTGGCTAATTTTAAATGCATTTATAAACAAAAGTTTATTATTTATAATTTTTAAATAAATTATTTAAATAAAAAAAAAATTTAAAAGAATTTTTCCAAAAAAAGACCATTTATAATTTTTGTGATTTGTTCAATTATTACTAAACAGATTTTTTGCTTTAAATTACTAATTATAACTCAAAATTTCAAATGTAATTACCTCGGACTTGTATATTTAGTAAAAAATCAAACTTACACTGTAAAAAAAATTAACTTTATTTAATTTTGAATTGACAAAAAAATTTTAAAGAGTTTAATTGTCTTGAATCAAGATAAAAAATTTTAAAATTAAATAAAATTTACTTAAGAAAAATATTTTAGTTCAAGAATTTTTCCACTAAAATAAAGATAAATTTTTTAAAAATAATTTAATTAATTAAAGTGAATTTTTTTTCAGTGTAATGAATGAAAATGAACAAATAAATACCTTGATGAGGGCATTTTTTGTGGTGACTCTGATGGTCCGGGAGGGAGTTTTGGTGCTCCTGGGGGCTGTGCAAGTACTGTTGATGCCTGCAAGACTGCTGCTGCTGCTGCTGCTGCTGTTGCTGCTGGCTGATGGGGGCTTTGAGAACACTGAGGACCAAGTCCTCGCGGGAGGACACTATCCTGGTGAGTTGACGACTCTGCCTGAACAGAGTCTCCTGCTCGCCCCGGTTCATCCTGAATCGCCTTGTTCGCCGGTCTGGATGACACCCGGGAAAATTATCTCTTCTCCCACGTCCCGGTCCGTAGCCTAGCATAACACTGTGCAGCATCCCGGTGACCACTTTCCCCTCTGGCGAGCCTCATCGCGCCCATTAGACTCCAAGATCGGGAGCACTCTCATCTCCGAGTGTGTTTATATTCTCACACTATTTATCTATCGGATTAGCTAGACAATAACTAGAGACTATGGTTGTAATTCTTGAGATTAAGCAAAATCCATGATCCCTCTGCGGATGTCAGTCGGCAGTTGAGTGCCTCGCGAAACCGCTCCAGCTTTCTTCGCTTAAACTTTTCATCTCAATCACTTTTTGTTTCTTCGACTTGGGCTAAAACTTTTTTTTCTTTTGGTATTATGATTTCACAATAGATTTATTATTCCTTTTATTAAACACTTTTTTTTTAATTGTTCACCTCAGGACTTTTTTGAACAATTCTCTCCCGACAATAAACCGGAGAAATTTAAACCCCGTTATTAACATTATCAATTTTTAATTTTTATTGCTTTTAAAAAATTTAATTTCACTTTTTAGGTCACTAATTATTATTTTTTTTTTTTGGTCTTTTAATTAATATTGATTTTTTTTTTTAATACACTGATTATTTATCATTACACTGAGAAAAAAATTTTATTTATTTATTAATACAAAAAAATTTAATTTTTAATTAATAAAAATACATTTTTTTGTATTTTAAATAATAATAATAATTTTGTCAAAAAAATTAATAAATTTCTCAATAAATTTACCTAAAAAATTTTTTTTACAAAAAAAAATCAACAGATAAATTTTTTATATAAATTTTAAAAATTTTAATATTAAGAAAAAAATTTATTTTTTATAATTATTAAAAATTTTAAATGTTTTTTTTAATAATAATAATTTTTTCAAAAAATCAATAAATTTAAATTAAAAAAAAAAATTTTTAAAATCAATGGATAAATCCTTTATATGAGTTAAATAAATTTAAAACCGTAGAATTTTTTTTTTTTTATTAAAAACAAACTTTCGGAGGTCTGTCGCTTTCTGTGTCAGATGAATAACTTATAAGCCTTAAAATATTATTATTATTATTATTAAAATATAAATCCAGCTTAGAATAAAAATATACCCACTAACCACTATTACTCGCGATTATTAATACATATATATATATAAAAAGAAGCGTTTAGCCGTATCGAGTAGTATAAAAAAAGCCTCTTACAATAACAAAACACATGTTTACATTATTTGTAATCTAAATGCACTTTAACGATTGCTTTAATTATATTTAAATTTATTGCTCAAAAGATTAGAGTGAGAAAAATTTTAATTAAAAATTTTTAAAAAACAGGGGGAGGAAAATTGAAACTGTTTTTAATTTTCAGCCTTAAATTTCGAGGCTGGCGATGTTAACTTTGAAATATTGTGTTAAAAACTGGTACGTCCCGCATTTGCGCACATTAAATATAACTGCTTAAGCACCAGAGGAGGCATACGTGGTAACCGGGGATCCGCGGCGCAGCCTGCGAGCTATCAATTTAATTTAACTGGCATCCTTTGACCTTTCGACATTTTATTTTCTCACTCGAGCAGGATCCTCACGTGTAAAATTTAATATTTCGTCCGGGGTTTTGTTTAAACTTTTTTAGGGGGTGGGGGTAGTGGGGGTGGTTTAGAAACAAAGCCCAGCGACGTAGCGGAGTATGGATTAAGCAGCGTCCGCCGCGATCTTAACAGGGCGAAAGCCCGCAACCAACTGTGGCTCGAAGCCGCCGCGTAGTTTCGCCCTCTACCGCAATATTATATCCTGTATCGCGGGGGGATGATGCTGCTACTGCTGCTGGTAACTGGTAACTGTTTGAGACGCCTGGGGTGAAATCGCTACGTCATTATTGTACGTTAACTCTCGGCTCCTTGATAACTTTGTTATCGCTCGCACGTATATTATATTTATTTATGCTTTTTGTTTTATATTCGCTTTGTTTCCTGTCACTCCAAAGAGAAAGATTTTTTATGGAGATCTAACAAATTACCGGGGGGTGCTAACTTTACTTCTTCGGCCTGGCAAGTAAGTGGTCTATTAATACTATTAATCGTTAATAAATTGTTGAAAATATTTTATTAAGTGCACTGGTAGAAAGATTTATTAACTATTAATTATTTTATTTATTAAAAGACAATTATTTAATTTATTAAATTTTAATAAATATTTTTTAACAGTTAATAAATAATTATTAAATCCTATGATGTCAAAAAATCATTTATTAATAATTAATAAAGCTGATTAAATATAAAAAAAATCCTTCTATCAATGTAGTTTTGGGAAATTCCAACAGGTGGCGCATGGCCGCTGAATCTTCTCACTACAAGAGAGTTAACTTTTATAAATTAAGTATTGAAATAAATTTTTTAAAAGTTACACTGATAAAAGGATTTATTAACTACTAATAATTTTATTTTAAATTTTAAATTAGTTATTAGCTGTTAATAAATTACTTATTAACTGTTAATAAATATTTATTAAATCCTATGATGTCAAAAAATCATTGATTAATAATTAATAAAGCTTATTAAATATAAAAAAAATCCTTCTATCAATGTAGTTTTGGGTAATTCCAACAGGTGGCGCATGGCCGCTGAATCTTCTCACTACAAGAGAGTTAACTTTTATAAATTAAGTATTGAAATAAATTTTTTAAAAGTTACACTGATAGAAGGATTTATTGACTATTAATAATGTAATTTTAACTTTAAATTACTTATTAGCTGTTAAATTAATAAATATTTGTTAACTGTTAATAAATATTCATTAAATCCTATGATGTTAAAAAATTATTTATTAACAGTTAATAAAGCTTATTAAATATAAAAAAATCCTTCTATCAGGAGGAACTTAAAAATAAAAATACCACTTTTTAAAGCTTATGTTTCCCGCTATTAATTATTGTAATAATTTTTCATTAAAAATAATTAATTTTTTAGTGATTTATAAAAGCTATTGCTTTGATAATTTTTAATAACTTAATTAATGGATCAAAGATAGAATTAAAAATTTATTTAAGAAAAAATAAAAGAGAAAAAAAATATAAAGCTGCATATCTATCAGATGTACGCTGTTAAGAAAATAAAGATAGGAGATTACTTTTCGGCTCGGGGAATGATAGTTTCAGAGCCGACATCCCTTATAAAAGAATTCAAGTATAAAAGTATAAAAGTGTACGAGTGGTTAAAAAACGCACAGCAGCCGAGTAAAAAGCTTCCAGCTTGGAATAAAAGTCTTCCCCCGTCTCCGTCCTCGCCGTCAGATTTCACTCAAAGCGCACAAATACGTCACTAGTTTAAATAAAATAAATCGGTGTAGCTCAAAGTCATCATTTTATATGTCGCTGTAAAATAAAACTACTTTATGCTGTTTACACTCTACTTTTTTATTTTATAAATTTTAACTCGCTTTTTTTTTGTCTTGTAAATGCCATGTCGTACTCTGTAGTAAGAGTTAAAAATGTTTGCTCTGTACAGAGTTTTTATGAGCAAAGTATTGTACAGTAAAAAATAATCATTTTATAAATAAAACCGCCTTAAATTAGTAATTTTAACCGCGACAAAAGAAAACGCAGCTAAATTGCGGATAAAAATGAAAGAGTCGCGGTTGTGGATTAAAAAAGATGATACGAGTTGAAAATTACAAGCTTTTTTTTTTTATTAAAAATCCCCGAGGCGTTTTAACATCGATCGCTAAATTATCAACGTCTCTTTTAATTATTATGATTATTGTCAACTTTTTTTATCAAATGTGGCAAAAATTTTTAACAAAAATTCTAAATTAAATTATAAATAAATAATTTTTGTTAAATAAATATTTTAGGAGTGTTGGACAATTTTATAAAAACTATTTAGAGAAATACTTAAGATACTGTATCTCCTAAAATATTGAAGATAGATCCATAGTATAAAAACGTTTTTTGTAGGAAATTTTATAAGCTATAATTTTGGTATCATGATTTTTTTCCAAAAATCAATATTTTAGGAGTTACAGTCATTTTTTAAGTGACTAGATAATGATTTTTTAAATTTTAACTATCAGAGCACTATCTAAGTAGCTCTATATCTCCTAAAATATTGAAGATAGCTCGATAGTTGATAAGAATATTTTATAGGAAATTTATCAAGCTACAATTTTTAATTCATATAATTTTTTCTAATCAATATTTTAGGAATTAGAGTCATTTTTTAAGTGGCTAGATAATGATTCTTTATTATTTAAATATCAGAGCACTATTTAAGTAGCTATATCTCCTAAAATATTGAAGATAGCTCGATAGTTTATGGCTTTTTTTATAGGAAATTTTCCAAGCTATAATTTTGGTCTTATAATATTTCGATAAAATTGATAATTAAGGTGTTGTAGCCATTTTTAAGGTGACTAGATAATAATTTATTATTAATTATTAAATATAAAATTTTCATTTCAAATAATGATAATAATATTAAAAAGTATCTTTGACATTTAACAAAAAAGGTATTACATCAAAAGCAAGTAGTAATACACATTTTTTTCAGACTATTAGCACACTCGTGACAATGAAGCAATCTGTTTATAGCTTCTCTATATTGTGTACCTATTGCATGCATTTATGAACAATACTCGTGAGTTTTCCCCTTTATATCAAAAGCCCGTTCTTCAATCCGTCCCACATTTCCCATAACAGCCTCGATAGAGTCGTCTTTATTCCATTATTCCTGAATCATTCGCACTGAAATTACTATTATCAAAGCCTAGATCCTCGAACTCACTCCGAAAATCCCTCAGCTGCTCGTTTCCTCTTTCAAGTACGGCAATTAAAAGAAAAAAACCTCTAATAAAAAGTTATAAAGATTAAATAAAAGTGTTACAAGACTTTATCGGCAATATACTTGTCAACAACGCGATAAAAATCTCGGGACAAAGTTGTGTAATTTCTTGCTATACGGCTTTGGGTGTACTGTGTAAACTCACACATAACCTTAGGTGGCGGCTTCCAAGAACTGAATCTTGATAAAAGTTTTCCACCGTTAAATTAAAAACTTCCTTA